CATAGGTGTCAAACTCAGGCCCGTGGGCCAAATCTGGCCCGCAGTGTAATTATATTTGGCCCGCGAGATAATATCAAATGTCTGTTGGAGTTTGGCCTGCTGGTATATAGTGCGTGCATCGTTAATGCTACACATCCCAGAATGCTCTGCTAGTGTGTTGGCGCGTTAGTGAAGACCTGCAAGTGTCCCCTCCCCCTTCTGTTGGCATTTATTACCTGATGTTAGCAGACAGAAAATTAAAGCCACGCCTCACAAAAAATGGAAAACAGGAGCTCTGAAGACAGACAGGAGGCAGATTATCTGTTCATGAGTGTGAAGGACAGACCTTCAGATTTAATGTTTAAGCAAAACCTAAGTTGGTTACCGTATGAAAAAGTTTATCATTATATATCTGGAGAGAAAGGAAAACATGCACAGCTGGAGTCAACTTTTCAATAAATATGGACTCTGGCCTTCGACCCTCCACATTGTATTTGAGTTTGACATCCATGCTTTAAAGGAAAAGAGATGCAGGTGAGGAGAAAACGTTCACCCCTGAAGTCCCACAACACAATACCCCAAATAAATATTTAATCTCAGTCAGACCACATCTGATGCCTGGAGGTGAGAGACAATACTTGTTGCTGCAGTGAGCCGAGCCGACTCCACCGACGCTGTATGAAGTGGGATTCAAAGGTCAAAGTCTCTGCTCAGAGCTTCTCTTTATGTGAACATGTTATTGTGGTTTTCTTTCTGCTCTTATCTACTTTCTTTTCAACCCGTGGTTCCATTTTTATTGTTAAGTTTAACTTTTATTGCGCCCGTCTGTCGCGCGCCCCTCCAGCGTTAATCATTACACCGTGTGTGTTATCACCGGCCGACACAAACCCAGACCCGTTAGTTACCAGCTGCACCTCATACGAGTGCAGCTGACCCAAAGGTTCCAACTATTGATGCTTCTTTAAATTCTTGTCGTCCTATTTACATACCAGTCATGCCTCTGATGTGGCCTCATGTGATAACGCGCCATGTTTTAAATCTATTACACACTAATTCCTGAACTGAAGCTGTATTGCACATCAAATGGCAATATCTGTCAGAAACGTCGCAATGAGACATTTCTCTTGAATCATTTCAGGTTGAAAGGTTTACATTTCAGCAATACTGCATTTTAGAAGCTTGTTAAATGATCCTTTGTGTAAAATCTTCATCTGAAAATGAACTAAAGCTGCATGTAGTGAAACAGAAAGTGCAAGTTTAACTGTTAAGGATCATAAATATTCCAGTAAAGTACAAATACTTGGCTTGATAGTTTCTTTGCACCACTGTGAACTGTAAAGTATGACGATTTTTGTGTACATGGTGCAAAAAATAGATAAATGAAGCTTATAGGAACAGAATGTTGATAGTTAATCTAGTCATGACTTGGGATTTTATTTCTCAGATTGGCAATAAAGTAAGGTGTGGGGTTAAGTCAAGATCAGGAGATGCAACAAAATATGACACTTTACATCCAGATCTGCCCCTTTAGTTGATCAAATATAATAGTATTTAAACACCTACGCAGTTGTTTTGAATCTCAGTGTTTAGACGAGGTTAGGCTAAGATCTTCAGGTTTTCCTCAACACAACTGTTTTAGAGAATTCGTGGCTCCTGACTAATCTTGTCTCGTGAAATTTTTGTTGGCGGTGAATGACCTCACACCCACACTTACTAAATATACAACCCCTGCCACTGAAGGAGCACCCTTTTGCCCCACTCCTCCAGCATTTGTGTCATGTTAGCAAAGGGCAAAGGTCTGTTTTTATATCAGTAGAAGAAGCTCACCCAATAAAACCCTGCAAGAAACTCTGAGGTGAATAAAAGGCAATTTGAGCTCAGCAGCAGTATCAGGCTCTGTCCGATGAAAATCTAAGCAACAAATAGAAAAACACACCATTATTGTTTAAAAAATGTGTTTTTAATGCTTTGAGCATCTTCTGGGTCTTAAGGTTGGACCTAAAATGTATCTCAAACCTTCTGCTCGACCAGATATCACTGGTGACAGATTGTCATGAGACGGTGTTTTTGCAATTTGAAAGATGTCACATGTTAAGTGAATATTCTGAGTTGTTCTGCTTCTCCGTGTTGTTCCAGGGTGTCGCCACTCGTTCCTGGTCTGATTCAGCAGCCGAGCAGAAGTCTGACGTACTACAGTGTGAAGAAAGCCAAGAGGAAGAGCGTGAAGTCTGTAACGGACAGGTTCATGCGGCTGCACTGCGGCCTTTGGATCAGACGTAAGGTACGCGTGTCGTACATTTAACAGCCTGCTTGGTTTTTTCTCAACACCTTTAAAAACACGACGTTGCTGATCTGATGTCTTGATTTTGGTCGTAAACAGTCTGGATACAAGAAGAAGCTGTGGAAGAAGCTGCCCGCCAGAAAGAAGCGCCTGAGGGAGATTGTGATCTGTAACAAGACGCAGAGCAAGCTTCTGGATAAAATGACGACCTCGTTTTGGAAACGGAGGACCTGGTACGTCGACGATCCGTACATGAAGTACCACGACCGGGTCAACCTCAAAGTGTGATCTGCTGAGTCATGTCTTCTGCTTTAATATAAAGTGATATTGTTGTACACATGTTAAATAAATCTCTGTATGTCCAATGGTGTTTTGTTTTTAGTTGTTATTTTAACTCGGTGGTTAGCATCGTCGCCTCGCAGCTAGAAGGTCGCCGGTTCATGAGAGGACACCCGGGATCATTCTGTGTGGAGTTTGCATGTTCTCTCCATTAAAGGTCCAATGTGTAGGATTTAGTAGCTCCACAGTTATGGATTGCAACTGAAGAACTCTCATCTCACATTGCTCTTTTAAGTTGAAGGTGAAATGATAGTGGCCACAGAGTCCTGCAAAAGTCCTCTTCTGAGCCAGTATTAGGTAGGTCTGTTCTGGGCCAGGGCTGCAAGGTGGCACGGTGGTCAGCATCGTTTCCTCGCAGCTAGAAGGTCGCCGGTTCGCGTCCCGGTGAGGACAGCCGGGATCTTTCTACGTGGAGTCTCCATGTTCTCCCTGTAAAGCGTGGGTTCTCTCCGGGTTCTCCGGCTTCCTCCCACAGTCCAGAAACATGCTGAGGTTAATTGGTGATTGTAAATTGTCCGTAGGTGTGAATGTGAGTGTGCTTGGTTGTCTGTCTCTAAGTGTAGCCCTGTGATAGACTGGTTACCTGTCCAGGTGAACCTGCCTTCACCCTGAGTCAGCTGGGATAGACTCCAGCCCCCCATGACTCTAGTAAGGATTAGGCGGTGTAGAGATGGATGGATGGATTTTAAGACAATTGCACACAAAATAAAGTACAACACAGTGAAAGTTTTGCTTCATTTTTAATGGCTGTAAATTGATTTAACCAACAGAAATATTTAAACTAGTGGAACACTCAACTGATAGTCATAAACCAATATGTCGTCACATCACTGCGTTTTCTTTTATAATAACTCACAATCAAGTTGAAGTCATTTGACATTCTGGCCTGCCAGAAAAAAATCCTTAGGATAAGTTAGTAAGATGAGGGGTGTCTCTTCATGAACGAAGCCTTAAGCGGCTGGTTTATCAGTAAATAAGACATTTTATTTGTGAGTAGCCAACTGATAGTCGTGATGTCCTTCTAAAGCAGCCAAAGGTAACAAAAACAGAATCCATTGTTCACCAGCGTCTGAGGAGGCCGACAGCTTCACACAAAGTCACTTAAGAAATGAAATCTTCATACAAATTAATAACAAACATCATGCAGTGATGAGTTCATCGATCTACGCACAAGTGTACAAATCTGCAACTTAGCAACGTGTGTTTTTATTTTTTTCTTCCTTCAGTTTTACTTGAATGGAAGGAAATCACCTCCAGCACTAACACGGATACTACTAACGCTGAAACACAGATTTTTCCTTTTTTTTTTTTTTTTTTTTTTTCCCCTTTTTTCTCTTATTTGACATCTCATGTGCATAATAAGTGTATCTACAACATCAGAGTGAATGACGTGTAAACAGAACTGTTGTACCTGAGAAGCTTCTGTTTCAAACTTCAAACCACCAGAAATCAAACAATGACGGAAACATCTACTGCGCATGTCGGCGACCGACACAGTGGTGGGTTTTGTGTGTAAAACCGTCGCCGAGGTTCGGGCTCAGTCGATAGAGTACAGGATGACGGGATACGATGCATTGCTACGCACTATTAACGCATATAGAAGTTTGTAAACCTGCAAACCGATATAGTCACTCTCATTGTTCCTTAAAAAAATAGCAGAAGCGAGTAAAGGTAAGAGCGTTGGGTTTAGTGTTGCTCAGTTCACAACAGAACGTGACACAGTGATTTCAAACATGGAGAAAGAACCATGTTTATATACAGTAAATATTTACTCGTGTGATAACCCATTCCTGCTACAGCTGAAACAGACTCCATCCTGATCGGCCATGAATCGCCAAATAACTTGAGGAATAAATGACAAAAAAACGTGCCACCAAACTGAACAGTAGATTGTCAAAAACAGTCTGAGAAAACCTCTTAAGTGGTGATTTTATTCTCTCTCATATCTGATGAGCAGGTAAATATTTCTTTACCGCAGCAGAAATAACATATTTGAAGGTGTCTGGGATTTTTTAAAACTGATTTAGGACATTTTTGCAGCACTGAATCCAAACATGACGTCTGCTTTTCTGCATCAGCTCAGGTTTTTATGCCAACTCGGTTAAAAAAAATCGATTTTGCCACTAAATCAATTACATTTTTTGACATTAGCGATTGATTTATTTTATTATTTCATTTTCTAAACCTTTTCATGAGCTAAATGATCCAAAAGTTGATGAACATTTGTGAAGGTAAATACAAGTAAATTGCATGTTTCATCAGCATTGCTCAAAATTCAGGGCTTGAACTTCTTGGACCTCCTGGAAAGATCAGCAGTAGGTTTATCTCTCTTCAGAGTCCAGCAGTAATCAGCCATCATCCCAGCCTTCCTGATACTTGGTCTCCATGGAATCCCTCCCTCTGCTCATCACTCATTGATCCGAGATTCTCTGGAAACCATTCAGGTAGCATCGACTTGTAAAGGCTTCAGAATTTGTTCATTTCAGAAAATAGAAAAAGAGTTTTGTACAATACGAAGCATAGATACCTGCACATGTACGCAAACATGTAAAAGTCAAAATTGTGACCTCATTGAGCAAAACTGATGTGATATTTGGATTCAGCGCATTGCAATTGTCCAAAATCAGCTCAAAAGACACCAAAACGAGTGTAGACCAGCGTAATAATAAGACGACCGATGAGCGCGTTCAGCTGCTAATTTGTCTGATTTTTTGGCCGTTTGAAAGCATTGAGGGCTTCTATTCTAAGCATAGTGCAAAGTGATTATTTAATGACAACATCGTGCTGGAAATACCACGTGTAGAGACATGTGCGTCCCCGTTATCTCTTTCTTTAAGGCTTGAAGAGAAAGAGGTAAATAACAGAATCGTGTCCGTCACTGCTGTCTGACTACGAATGCAGGCTGTCTTGGAGTTAAATGCTTTTTTCGGGAGTTTCTCAGTCAATCAGGGCAGAAAAAAAACAAAAAAACAGATTTATTAGGATTACAAACAGCCTCGCCTTTTGCTTTGATCCTTGGCTTGTTTCACATTCTCTTACAGTGAGCGCGTCACTCTCAGAGCCAGCTGTAGTTTTCAGTGACAGTACATTCTGTTCAACCCACAGCGGACCAACGACCGGGAAGACACGCATGCGATTGCCGACCCTGACCTGATATATATATATATAAAAACAACGAAATCATAAAGATGAAGTACACGCATACTGTACATAAATACATATTCAATAACCAACAAAGTGTCTATCAGCCCATTCACTCACCTCATCTTCTATCTCAGTGTCACAAACCTCATTTTGTCTAAATCATGAGCCGCTAGCTATATAATCGTATATAGAGGGGTCATCGTAGGTCACTTTGGTAATACCTTATTCCAAAGCAAGGCTGCTTCAGTCATGTAGCTTTTGGCCATTCAGTATTTTTTTTTTCTTTTTCTTTTTTTAAACTTCTTGCAGCGAAGGCAGCTGGAGGAGTCTTGAGGACAGTTTTCACATGGCTTCATTGTTTGAAGAAAGAGCACTCCTGGATCTTGTGAGAGGCCTTAAGACTCTATGAGGAGGCTGGAAGGGAGAAATAAAAGAAGGAGATGGAGTTTAGTTAGTAAAAGCTTATAAAAAAGTCTTTATAAGGATACAGCTGGATTTATTTGGTGTTTTTTACTGTCAGCAAAACTCGAGATGAAGCTAAAACTAGGGATGTGTTGTTCCTATTAAAACATTTAAGAGTGTGTCACTATTTTTTAAATTCTTTTTCTGAAAGGAATCAATAAGTTCTGGTGGATGAAAGTGAATTTATGGCATCAAGGGATTAATGTGGAACGATAAACTACAGAAGCCAGATCCATTGTGATGAAACAACACAAGTCAATAATGTGTTTTTATTAGTTTTTGGACAAATCAGGCTTTTACTAGACAGATAAAACACAATAGTGTTGAAAGAAAGTGCATCATGTAAGATATTTCTTTTTTGCAGTGATGTATTGCATTAATCACAAATAGAAATATAGAGAAAAGGTATTTGTTAATGCAGTAGTTAAGGCAAAAATAACTAATCCAGTCAAATTTATTCATAACCTCCCATTAAAGAAGGAAAAAAACAGGTGTCACTGAAATAAGTTGACAAAAGTAATAATAAATATAAATTTAATGAAAATTATGACGTTGCTTTTGAATTGTGGTTCAACAGAAATATATATTAAAAAAATAAAAATAAAAAAAACAAGCATGATGGGACCTGTAAACTAATATTTTGTTGAATAACCCTTTAATCACTGCCATCAGGTGTTTTCTGTAACTCTCAGTCAGACTTCTGCACCACTGCTCATCAGCAAAGTGCTCTAATTTGACAGTTTTGTTTATTTTTTCAAATTATTCTTTTCAACCACAATTCAAAAGCAACGTCTTATTTCACTAAATTATAATATTGCAAATTTTTATTTATTATTACTTTTTTCAGTTTCTACTTATTTCAGTGACTGTTGTGTGGATTTTGCTTTTTCTTTAATGAAAGAATAAATTTGAGGACAACAGCTGCTCTCTAAATATTCCAACACGAGCATCTGCAGCATTTATACAAGACGACATTTATGGCTGAAATAATATCAGAAGCCGTCCAGTGTCTTCAGTTTATCATTTTTAGAAACAAAATGAAAGGTTCACCAGGTGCCATGTTTAACACAAGCAGAAGCTTTCAGAAGGAGCTCATACAGCTGATGCAGCATTACATCATCACTAACATCCTATCTGATGTCACTTTAGACGACATCACAGCTCTAAGGGGCGATGCACCTTCTTCAAACACCTTGTTTTGGAGCAAATATGTTCATTTTGTCCTCAAAGTACAAGTAGACTTAAGAATTTCTTTGTAACAGGACAATGTCAAGGTACAGCTAACAAGTTCATACCATTGTCCTGTTACAAAGAAATTCTTTAGTCTACCTTGTTTTGGATTTTGTTGACAGCGAGAAAAATAGAAAATATCTCCAGCTTTATCCTTAACATTTACTTCATAGGGACCACCATGCCGGACAGACAAACAGATTTTAGGTTGAATTTCAGGGATTGGTTTCCACACAAACATCTCCACAAACATAAAAGTTATTCCCAGGACTGAAAACAGCATCCACTGTGTTTGGATACCTCCCATGCCGTATCTCCAAACACTCATTTCAATCACACGTTCATTTCAACCACGTCATCATCGAGTTAATGCATGAATCAGCTCCACCAGTGCAGAAATCCTACGAGCAGCCAGACCCCCTCCACATTTGCACAGGTACTGGACCATGATGATTCATTTAGCCACGCGGCACTAGAAATTAGTGAATCAGTGAGTAAATCACGGCTCTCCAGGGGCGGTTAGGTTCAGGCAGCAGCTGAGCAGCAGCCACGTGGACGAGGCAGTGTGTACCTCCGGAGCCCTCCTCTTAACCAGCCTGAGCTGTGGGGAGCTGGACGCCGCCTTCGCCTCCTTCTCCACCTCCTCGGGCTGCTCCGGAGGCGGAGAGGGCGTGGAGGGCGGGGTGGACGGGGGCGTCACAGAGGCCGGTGCGGGCTCGGACTCAGGAGCCGAGAGGGTCGGGGACGGAGGCTCCTTGGAGTCCCACTGCTCCAACCTCAACACCTCAAACTCAGCCACGTCAAAATCCTGCCCTGTACCGTGGAAGAGAAGGTCGGCAGCAGGGATGAGCGGTCTCTGGAGTCGAAACGCTGTTTAGTGCAACCGCTGTTAAGCTGCAGCTGATTCTGGTCAGCTGGGGATAATGAATGTTCACATCATTATGCATTATCATCCTGTGGAGCGCAGAGCGGAGGCCAGATAGGAAATAAGTGGGAGCCAATTTGTTGCATCACAAAGAAGCATAACAAGGCTGTTCTTCTGAAGTCTGCTGCAGAATTACAATAAAACCACTTAGGCTGTTTTCCATTTTCTATAATGCCAGGAGACGAGAGAGCCCAAACACGCTGCTCATTCTGGTTACAATGTTGATGATATATTTTTATTATAATTACAAATCCAATTATATCATGAAAAGACCATTTGTTCCACTACCAAGAAACTCAAAGCTCGATCTTGTTCTCCTGCATCTTACAGCGCCACAGAAACTATTAAAAGACATCAATAAGCCACATCTCAGCGCCGGGTGGCAGGAATCTGATCTCTATAGTTTATTTTAACTCAAGCCCTGCACCAGTGTGCTGCTGGAAAAAGCTCAGCAGCTCACCCGATGTATGTTAACGCCAACGATTCGCAACAAATCCACTTTTTCCCACCAAACTACAGCTGTTTAGGAAGTTATGTAGTCACAGAGACGAATCAAACTAGATATTAGTGACACAGTTTTCAAGATTAACAGCCTCAAGGGAAGTCTGTTCATAGGATGGATTAACAATAACAAAAATACAGGTTGATGCAAGTTAGTGAAAATCCATAAATGAGTGCAGCAGCAGCAGGTTTTAGTTGTATTCAGCTCGTATTCGTTGAATAAAAATGTGCCTCCAGCCTACAGAAGTTTGCATGTGATGTATATAATGTTACATCAGAGAGAATGATCTATTATCTGCCCAATATCACACCAGATCAAAACAAACAACAACTGTCTCCGCATGATGCTAAACTAGGAACAAACCCCTCCGGCTGCATGTGAGTCTTATCACAGGACGGCGAGCCTGGCAGCGCCGCCAGGCCCCGACCTGCCCCCAACAGGAAGCCAGGGCCGAGGTTAGGGGGGCGCTCAGGAAGGCAGAGGTACCAAACAACATCAGAGGGCTTAAACAAGCTCGAACAGGAAGAGAGATATCGACTGGCTAATCTGTTTTACACAAACCGACCAGGCGCTGCTAACGGCGTTACAGTGGCTCCATCAGTCCCAGTTCTACCAACATCTTGTCTTATGAAAGTGATATTTATTTCATCAGCTGTTGTAATGCCATTATGTGATGGTTAAAGTTTCAGTCAGCCTCTAAAGTGGATTTTAGTTTTGGGTGCAAGGTGTCAGGAGGCAGAGGAAGGTCTCCTCACCCTTGTAGCTCTCTGACTTGCTGCGCATCATGGATCTGGTCCGGTGCTGAGCCGCGGTGGGCTGCGTGGTGCCGGTGTCGCTGTTGTCGGGGTCGGACTGGTAGGAAGACAGATCCTGCATGCTGAAGCTCCTCAGTCTGTCTGATAGAACTCCTTGGCCCTAAACCAGGAAACATGAGGCTTTCATTTTAATGTGAGGCAGTCAGAACGTGGCATCTGATGCAGAGCTACAGAGGGGACAATGTCCTGTACAAAAATAAAGATTATAGGAATTTTTAACAGTAATTATTTGAACAATTTAGTGTCATTTTACACATTTTCCCTGTTTTAGTACATTATAAATAATAACTAGTAAAATCATAGGGGGAAACTGTTAACTCTAAAAAACAAAACAAAAAAAAAGGCCCAAACTGTAAATATTTGCATTTTTACAAATCTGGCAGGAAAATCACACAATTTTTACTGTATTTAAACATGAAAAAAATACAAGTAGTTTACAGATATTTGCTGTTATTTGCCAGAAAAATAAAAATAAAAATGGTATATTATTTTTTTTAACTGTTATTTTACAGATTTCCCGTGTTTTGCTAAATTAAAGACAATAACTACTAAAATCATAAAAAAATATAAATCTGTTCACATTAAAAATCTGTATTTTTTAAAATTAAAATAGGTGACCATAACATTGCATAATTTTTACAGTATTTAAATCAGCAAAAAATATAATTAGTTTACAGATATTTGCTGTTATTTGACAGGAACTATATTGGATTGAAGGTGGATTAAAAAAAAAAAAAAAAAAAAAAAAAGGTACATTATTTTTAACTTTTACAGATTTAAATTAAAGACAATGACGACTAAAATCCCCCCAAAAATGTATAAAAAATCTGGCCAAAATTCTACATAATGTTCACACTAAAAATCTGTATTTTTTCATAAAAATGTATGACCATAACACTACACTGTTCTACTGTATTTAAATCAGCTAAGAAGAATATTTATTGTGCAGATATTTGCAGTTATTTTCAACATTTCTTTTTTACAGTTTTTGAATATGAAAGTATTCCACAACTGTTTAAATACATTCAGCCCTTTTTTTATGGGATGTTTTCATTCTGCTGGATCTTCTTTTCAAAGCTTTATTTAACGAGCAGCCTTCACTCTGTGATCGGCCACACAAACAACAGGCTCGATGCCTCGGCTACAATGAGCGTCCAGCGCACCCTCAGGTCAGTACAAAACAAATGCTCACAGTCTGCATTACCTTTGTTGCAGCCATGACTGCAGCTGTGGCCGCAACATTCAGTCCTTTTCTCCCATAATGCACCAGCGTGTCGTAGCTTTTGTCCTTCGCTTGGCAGATATACTCATCAATGTCCTGAAATGAGAAAAAAAAAAAATCCCATGAACATCGAGCCTCTCGTTGTCGCTCATTTCATCCACAGCGCTGACAGATGTTTGGATCCTCTGAAAACTCGCTCATCTGTTTCCTGACTGGAGGAAAAGGGAAAGACAGGAAAAAGAGAAATGGAAGAACGCTACGACATTTCCTCTCCCGTGTCTCGAAAACAGATTTTTTTAACAGCTAAAGTGGGAAATTGAATCAGCACAAAGGCACTTTTGTTCTTGTGGACAGTCGCAAAGCTCGAATTCTATTAAAACACGCAGACGAGCTTAAAGCCCAGACTGAATACTTTCACCATTAACTCCTTCAGAGGAAACAAAGGGAGAGACACTACAAAGGAAAGGGATTTCACCTTTTCTTTTGAGGAAAGCGTGGGATGAACAAACTTCCTGTACAGCACACTGGAGCCCTTGGTGTACGGGGACAGCAGCCACACCACAAAGGCAATCTTCAGTTCATAGTAGAAAGGAAGCCTGCAAAGAAGTCACAGCGAAACAGAACAAAATACGTTATGAGACAAAAACACATTTATAATCAGTGGCAGTAAATGTCTGAGGTCACTTACCAACAAAGAAACATGTCTGTAAACACTTCCACAGTCATGAATAGGGCAAATATTATCCAGTACATCATCCATTTCACCTGGTGGAGAGAGTGGGAGTGTTAATGTTTCTCCACATTGTAGAATCAAATGGACGAGAATGTCAAAACAAAAAAACATATACTTACATATTCTTTCACATCTTTTGACTTGACAGCTTTATAGGATGAGTATGCAGGATATAGTGTACCAAACACAAGTCTACAGGGCAGAAGATGGGACAGTTAATT